TATATATGGAGTTTCCAATAAAAGATAATTGCATTTATTTAGCCTGTGATTTTAGCATCTCTCTCTTATATGCATACAGATTCTCTCTTATTAAAATACTTGTTATAATTCTCAGACTTACTGGGATCTATCAATTATATAGTTTGGAAACTACATATATATTTTGCTGTTCAAAATGCAGATCATTCTTGAGGTTTTTATTTTAGGAAAACATGGATATGTATTCACGAGTGAAAAGGAGGAGGAAATCATTGAGGAGAAATAGCTATGGAATCCAGAACCACCACGAGGTTTCCACAGAAGGTGAAGAAGAAGGTAATGGTGATAGTTTGATAGCTACTTTGATAAATACAAGTGAAAAATTATTATGTTAAAAAACAGTATGAGTTATATGAGTTCTCAATAGTCTATGTAACAGTTTTTACATAGTTTGGGACTATGTCTTCTGAGAGGCCTTAACTCTATTTCTACACTGTGTAAAGCTGCCCTTACTTTTTGGCCTCCAAGCAAGTTTCATTAAGATCTTGGATACAGACGGGCAGAACTTCTTCAGTTATGGGTTCATGCTTTTGGCACTCCTTCCATATGTTAATAAATTCTGATCAGTGCTGTTTTTTTTCCTTCAAACATTCATTTTATGGTGCTTTTGAATTAATTGTGCAGGATTTGAAAACATCTTTGCTGTTTGGCCTTTCTTGTCATTTTATAGTTTAAATCTTGAAATTGTAACAGCTTTTTCATGTGTTCAAAGTCTCCTAGATCACCTTACAAAGGCAGTGCATCTTGAAAAAAAAGTTAAAAAAAAACTTAAAATTACTTACGTATTATTTTTAATAAAGTTCATTCTGGAATATTGCAAACTACCCAAATCAGTGTTACATTTTATAAAATAAATTTCATTTGTAAAGTAGCAGGTGCCCTTTAAGAGATATTATGCAAATCTGTGGTGTATGTTTATAAATGTTTAATGGCAATTTTTTTAGAATCTCAAGAAGAAGATGGGGATATTGAAGCAGAGGAGGCAGAGGGAGAAGAAAATGATCGTCCGTATAATCTCAGACAAAGAAAAACAGTAGAAAGATATCAAGCGCCTCCTATAGGTAAGACTTTTAAAGAAGATTTATATAACTGAAATAACTTGGTTCAGCAATATTTTACCCTGGTTAGAGTATTAGATTGGGACTAGGTGGACCATGGATCAAATTCATAGTCATAAAGCTCAGTAAATGACAGTGCCTCTAAATCTAATTTATTTAATGTTAGGATAAAATGGCTGAAGGAAGAACCATTATCTGCTACTCAAAGCTTCTGTGAGAAAGAGTGTAAGAAAAAAAATACACAATTTATTCAACCTCTTCTCAAATGTAATTTTTTTCTTGTTTTGCAGGGAACATATAGCATAAAGGGAGAGTTCTATAAGACTTGATAGCTTGTGTTGTTACTGTTTTGAGAAGGTACTTAAGGTAGCATTTTACTTGTCCTGTATTTTCCGTTCT